AAATTGAACTGTTCTCTTATTTAAAGGGCTCTGATGAGTTTCATTTTCCTGTCAGCACCATTTTGAAGACTTTCTGTGGTCCAAGGCAATGAGAGTGGCTCTTTTTGTTCTGAGTGTTGGCTCCCTGCAGAGAAGGCATCCTTTGATTGCCTTCAGATGCCTATTGCAGATTGTCTGCTCAGTCATTCTGCCATCCAGAATCCTTCAGCCGGAGCTGGAAACTGGGATGGTCTTCATGGCAGCTCCTACCTACACATCTGAGTCACAAATACAAGTCTGGCCCAGGTTAGGAAAAGCCCTTAACAGAAGGATGGTGTGGTGTATGGGAACTGTTGAGTTACAGCCTGAACCACTGATTGATCACCTGGAGAAAGGATCGGTCTGCCCTGGGAGCACAGGTGAAGGCAATTCAGCTGTGTGACCGGCAGGGGGTGGAGCCTGGCTGCACCTCTCTTAGATCCCATTTAAGGGCTGACTGTCACTGAGGAAGGTTCTCTTGCTGGAGATCCCTCCCTTGTGGAGTCTTTTCTGTGAGCCTTGATCTTTGGGTACAGGTGAGCATCTTTCCTTTTCTTTTGTAACACTGTTCCATTCATGCTAGTCTCTTAGCTGCTACTCTCCTGTATTGCCCTTCTACTGCATTAATCTTTCTGGTTTTAATGCATAGGTGCACTGTGTTGTCCTGTCCCATGCACCTTGCATAATTGCTATTAATTTTTCCTGTGGAACATCCTCAAGTACCTGCAGTAAGTGAAATGAATTCCAAACTATGAGTCTAATTCTCCCACCAGCACAAGGATGGCAGCAGGAAACAAAGGACTTGGGAATGTGATTTTACTCTCTTCAGCCAGTGGCTGGGGAGTGAAAAACCCAGAGGAGGTTCACTTTTATCACTGAGGATGTGAGATTTTGTTTTTTTGTTTTAATCCCGCTTTTTTTATTGATGAGGAATCTCTGGGTGCCTCAACAGTTTCTCAGTTTCCCCAGACAGCAATTGACCTTGTCTTAGCTGTGCATCAAGACGCACTTGCAATCAAGGTGCTATTGATTTAAACCTAATGGCCAGCTGCTCAGGATTTTCACCTGGAAAAGAAAAATCAATACCACTTTATTATTATTATTAGCTATAGATGTGGTATAATGGAAAGGTATAAGAGTCTCACCAGCTCCTTACCATTAAGCCCAACAGTTGCAGGGCTGAGAACATTGGGTCAGGCTGTGGTAAAGTAGCCAACTAGCAAAATGACATGAGGGATAAACAATTTTCCTTGACTGAATGCTGCCATCCACATCTCTCTTTTCTGACCTTCCCCGAGGCATGGAGGCTGTGCTGCTATGTGGGACCCCAGAGAGAATGTCTTGAGTGATGCATTTGCCATATTACTGGAGGAGCTATGTGTGGGAAGGACGTCTCTTGTTTTGTCCTTTCCTTGTTTCAGATACTTTCTTCCTCCCTCCCCCATCCCAGGGGTAAGTGTCATTCAGAATCTGCAAAACTGGTTTACTAGACTGATTTAAATGCACATCAGGTAGCACTGGACAGATAAATGCTTAGGTCTATGGTAGGATTAAGCAAACACCACAGGCTGTCTCCTATCTACTGAGTGAGACTAAGATCCATCCTGTTATTTGCAAGATAAGTAGTCCAGCGTTGACTGGTATGATGGTAATGGCCTTAAATTGCATTAGGGAGGTTCACGTTGTATATTAGAAGTCTTCTTAGAAAGAGTGGTGATGCACTGACGCAGGCTGCTCAGGGAGCTGGTGGAGTTGCTGTTCCTGGAGGTGTCCAAGAACCGTGGGGATGTGTTATGGAGGGATGTGGTAGTTGGTCATGGTGATCTTAGTGGTCTCTCCAACCTTAGTGATTTTATGGGTGTGTCCATACCATGAAATTCTTACCTACCAAAATAAGGTGGTTTTGTCCTTTATGCCTCTGAGGAACATGCATGGCACTTATTTACTTCAGGGTGGATATTGCCTAGGAGAGGGCATAGGCTGAAGCCAGGGTAGGCTGTTGGCTGTGCTAATACTTTACTGGTATGGATGACTAGGGAATCTGTACATAGCTGCCCTGGGTCTTTGGAATAGTAGAGATATCAGTTGTAGAATTGCAAAGGTGTCATGAGCAGTTTTTACTCAGGACTTTATGGCATCCTATCTGTCAACACTCCAAAGACTTTGAAGTTAGGTTACCTTTTCAAATATCTTCCATGTAATTAGTCATTTACAAAAGGGGCTTGACTCCTGTCTCACGCAGGCCGATGAACAACGGAAAGTAAGGAGTGGCTTGGGACAGTATTAATTCCTAGCAAGGCGATCCTAATGACTTCCTGAAGTGCTTCCATGTCTCATGTCACTTAGACATGCTGAAGCATTTTTCCCTGTGTCTTCTCTTTACTTGCTTCCTCTTGCTCTTGAGGACTGTGAGAAGAACTAAAGGATGGCTTTTTGTTTCCAGTGACTTTATAGGGTCCCATGCATCTTTAAAGAGATAACAGCGACCTTTCCTCAAAGTCCAGCCCTCCCAAGATGGAACAAGATTACTACTCAAAATTACATGAGGAAAATGTACCAGCTAGCTCTGGTGTCATGATGTGTGCAGATCCTTATTTGTGCCAATTCAGAGTGAGAATTTTCCATGAAGATGGCATAGCTGTCAATGAAATGCCTGGGGTGAAACTTGCATTTCCAAAGTCAAGCGTTATCTGGATGATATGTGAATGTAGAAAAAACATGAAGGGAATCTGACAGTGCAGCTCAAAGGCACTGTCAGATAAAGCTGCTTTAAAAGACATCTTCAAGTGCTACTCAAGTCAGGCAGTACCCATTTGTTGGAATTATGTGAGCACATCAGAATACAAGACCTAAACGTTCTTTACTTCAGCTGTTGATGTAGTGACCAAATTACTGCTCTGTTTATTTGTTTTTTTTTTGTTTTTTTTTGTTTTTTTTTTGTTTTTCTGGGAGGGGGTCTGTTTGGGTTGTACATATTCCTATTACTACATCTGTGGCAGTACCACAGCAAATTTTCTGCTGACCTCAGCTTGCTTGAACAAGGGGCTGAGAATGCTTCTGAGAAGGTTTGCAGTACCAAGTGAAGTCTCTCTGACTTTAGTAGGATTAACAGCCTGTGCCACGTCAGGGAGCCTTACACGCTTTCTGCACTGTCTCAAGGGGAATCCAGCGAAGACTTGAGAGAACTTACTTGCTGAGTTTTAATGAGCAATTTTTGGTGAAGTATTTTCTCTTCCTTTCTTTGATAGGGAAAGGAACAGGAATGACTGTGGGTGAACTGTTAGATGACAGATGGATCACCTAAGCAAGTGACCCCACCAAACCTGGATAAAGAAACAGCTATTCTTAACTTAGTTTGTGACTAGTTTCCACTGGAACCTAGTCTCCACTCTGGGGACTCCTAAATGATGGAAACAGGGCTGCTCAGTAGCCTACAGGAGACTGTGCACTGTGAGGTCATTATGTTTGCAGAATGGAAGACGGTATTTCTGTGAGCACCAGTCCTGAGGCAAAAGCAGCTACACCTTACCAATATGTCTGTGCTGGCACAAGCTTAATTATTCAGTGTAATCCCACTATGAATGGAAGGACAGTATGGTCCTCCATTCATTTAGCACAGACATAGCCACACAAGGAAGGAAGGCTTCTTTGGAAAGACAGACTACTTGCTCCTAAGAGGGATTTAAGTCTTTAGGACTAAGCCTTTGGGGAAACAGTCCAAGTTTCCAGGCTAATTTGCACGTTGGTGTGATTTTGCCAACAGGTTCCCCAAATCTGGGGCTGAGAGTAGTACAGTGTAAATTCCACAGGATCCCACTGTGGTGCATCTTCACTTGTGCAGTTTTCCTGTCAGTTCACCTAGAACAACTTCTAAACTATTTGTCGATACAGTAAAATAGATTTTCTACATATTAAACCAAGTGCCATGAATGCAGGTGCTGCAACACACTTAGGTCAGCTTTTTTTTTTTTTTTGTACATTAGAAGAGTTTCTTGCTTTGTTCCTGGTGTAAGAGCAGCTCTTAATGGTTTAAACGTCTCTTGCAAGCCAGAGGCTTATTGTTGCTGTGATGGATACATCCACATTTCAAAAAGCACTTTCTTTCAGTTGCACCTGAGCAAAAACAGTAAGAAAGTATTTGAGCTGGGAAACAGTACTTTTTACCTTTTGAACTATCTCTGATCTTCATACATTAGTGCTGTCCGCACAAAGTGAAGCTGGGTTGGTTTTCTGAAGAAATAGACAACAGTCATTGTTCCTTTGTAAAAATGCAACAACCAGGTCCTGGGGGTCAAGAAATTGTGCCTCTTCTAGGTGAATCTGGATGGGGCTGGGCCTGCTGACTGGCCTCATCACAGACCTTAATTCTGTCACCACAGGTCAGTCTCTGAGGCTGTGGAGGAAGTGGAGCTTTTTTTTTTTTTTTTTTTTTTTAGTTAATTTAAAGAGAGCTGCCTCCTTGTTTTTCCTGCAATTGAGTTTTGAAGGGGCACCAAATCACTTGACAAGGTTGAAGGTTGGCTGCAGAGAATGACAGCTGAACACATCAGCTGCCCTGCCCTTCGTAATTGCAGCTTTTCCAGAACTGAAAATGCTTTCTTTGTCTTTTATCTTTGTATTTTGTTTTGTTTTTCCCCATCTCTCTTATCAGAGCATTCAAAGGAAGGGAACATTGCCCTTAGAATGACTGTAGGGTATATGTGAAAATGGAGGAAGTTCGTAGCCCTCCTCTGACGTGGCCCACCATTACCAAGACATCTTGAGAAGCCCTCTGCCACCTGTTCCTATTCACCTCCTGGTATTTTATAAGTTGTTTGCCTTTTCAAATGGGGATATATTTGGACAGTTAGGTCAAGGTGTGCACATATATGGGGCTATATTTTCTTGTGAGGTAGTACAAAAGACAAGCTGATTTGGGTGCTTTCGAGTGTTATTCATTACCTACATTCTCACCTTGGTGTCTATTTTCTTTCTTTCTTCAGGAAAATGGAGGCCACTGCCCCAGTGTGACCTGTATCTACAGTACAATATAATACAGACCACCATCCCACTCTCTGACAGCTCCCAGTATGGATGGTTTGATTGAGCAGAACAATGTGCTCATGCACAGTAAGATTGCTGAGGCTGGGAAAAGGAATGGTTTAATTAATACAAGGAACTTAGTAGCAGAGAGCCGAGATGGTCTGGTGTCGGTGTACCCAACCCCACATTATCAGAGCCACCGGGCAGGGAGTTCCCCAAGCTGCCTGGAGAATGGCAGGAATGACCCCGTGCAGCAGCTCCTGGATCCCAACATGTTGCAGCAGACCGTGGAGTCCCATTACCGTCCCAACATCATCCTCTACTCGGAGAATGTGCTGCGCTCATGGGGTGAGAGCATCAACTCAGAGTGCTGTGAAACCACATTCATTGAGGACCGCTCCCCTACCAAGGACAGCCTGGAGTACCCAGACAGCAAATTCATCGATCTCTCAGCAGATGACATCAAGATTCACACCCTCTCCTATGATGTGGAGGAGGAGGAGGATTTCCAGGAGTTAGAGGTCAGATGTCACATGGGATCTGTGGGGGGGAGGTCATGTTTGGGCTGAAGTGTACAGCTTTTGGGTGCTGGTTTTCATGGGATCAGATGTGTTGCTCTCTCCTCCAGCCAGGACAGGGAACATCTGCTCAATTTTAGTTGCAGGGTAGAGCCTTGGCTCTGCAGAGGCTAATGGCAGAAGTGCCGGTGGCATTCCTGCCTCTGAGTAGGCTGGTCACAAACTAAAGAAGACCCATATGCTTAAACACTGCGAAAGTCGAGGCCTGAAGCATCTGTCCCATCCATGAAGCTTGTTTTACTCAGCAGGCCAGCATCACTTGTTACTTTCTCTTGATTTGAGTTGGATATAAAACTGGTTGTTTTGCATACTGACTCAAACATTAAACCTGTCCATCTGTGAACACAAAACCAGGACTCTTCGAGCGTCTAGCCACAACAAATCCTATGCACCTGAATAAGATTTTTTTTTTTTTTTCTGATGGAGTGAAACACTACTTGATTCCAAATGCAATGTTTTCTTTTAGGTTCCTGTTCTTCATTAATTGGTCGCACTAAAGCAATATAAATTTTGTTCTCCAAATGGGGCATACTAGAAATCAACTTCATTCTTTCTTAAATGGTGCATTTTCTACTTCAGAAAATCCTGGCTGCACTAGCTGCCCAAAGACAACACATTTTATTTGCCAATGGGAGTGGAGGGTGCCCATGCTGTTGCAGATCCCCAGACTTTCTCAGCATTAGTCACAGACTCCTAAGGTAGCAAAGCCCATTTGGCTGACTGGAGCAAAAACATTGCTTCAACCTGAATGTCCAAGAGGAGTTCCGGAAGATATTTTCCCATGTTTCTCTCTTGCGGGGTTTTCTCCATTGAAAGCTAATAGGTCCTAAAACTTCTGTTTCTACCTCCTTTAATATCAGCATCTCACCCTGCACAGGGGCAGCTCAGCAAGAGGGCTGACTTCTCTTTGATTCTGTTCTCTCTGTATTGCTCAGGTAAGCAGAGAGAGGTGCTTGTCACAGTGCGTGCTGGTAACGTGGTATTCAATACCTCCACAGGGAGACTGGAAGTTTCTCTTTGAGGCCTGTAGTGGTGTTAGCTCAAATCACGCCCTTCTATAGCATTTCAAAGCTGGCTGTGGGAAGCCTCATTTTTTTTAAATCAAAACAAAAGGCTGAAATGCTGCCTTTTTTTTTTTTTTTTTCCTCTCTAGCTTTCCTCACGCAGTGGTTGTGATGCAAGTGACTGCAGGAGTCACGAAACTGCCTAATGATGTATTGTCACATCTGGCCTAAGACTGAGGCAGAAAGAAAATACTTTGTTTTCTATAGGATGAGAGGTAATGGCCTTAGGTTGCACCAGGACAGGTTCAGATTTGATATTAGGAAAAACTTCTTAGAGTGATGAGGCACTGGCACAGGCTGCCCAAGGAGGTGGTGGAGACCCTGGAGATGTTCAAAGCTGTAGGGTTATTGCACTGAGGGATCTGATTAGTGGGCATGGTGGGGTTGGGTTGGTGGTTGGAATAAATGATCTTAGTGATCTTTTCCAGCATTAATGACTTTATGATTACTGTCAAACCAAATCCAGCAAGACCTTCTTGAGCCAACTGTCAGAGAATGGGCTAAAAAAGACCAGGGCAATATGCAGGACAACGAAAAAATATTTTGTACCAAAAATATTTTCTCCTTTCTTGGTGGAATTTTTAAAGTGTCTTTACAATGTAGGGCCCTTAATATGTTGGAACCACAGAATGTGGAACAACTTTCCACAGAAAAGATTTCCTAGTAAAACTCCTATGAAAGTGAAGGTCTGGGGAAAGGACATCGCCCTTCCCCTCCCAGATTTCCAGAGGGAAAGAAGAGAGTTCATCTCCCCATCTCTCTGCAAATGTTTTAACATGCTGTAATGGTGTGTGCATCATGTTCCCAGGGTCCTTCTTTTTGTGTTATGAAGAGAATAATACAGAGGATGCCCATCCTGACCTAGCCATACAAGGTGCTCAGGGGAGGCAAGTGTGCATGCAGTGTGCATCCACACAGCTCCCTCTGTTCTGAATTGGGATTTCTCCTCCACCAGGAGAATGAAGGAAGGAGAAGAAAATGAGGCAATGTCTGAGGAAGGACCTACTTGACTGGAATCATGTGCATTGTTAGAATTGCTAGAAGCCTCTCCTTCTAGCCCATTTTCAGCCTGTATTTCAGTGCTGCATAGCCAGCCCAATGCTGTGCTCTGGTTTTCACACCTCTGCAAAACCAGACCCACATTAACAACCTACTGAGTAGCTGTGCTCAGCATGAGGGTTCTCAGCATGTGGAGTAAATGGTGACAACCCAAGAAGGCCCAGATTCTGCAGTTGGTACTATGTGAAGAGCAGGAGAGATGTGCTCAAGTGAACAAGACCAGCAGAAATGTGCTCCTCTGGTCTCCATCTAGACAGATGCTGTATCAACAGGGCCAGATGCATGAGGGACACCTGGGCTTGGATAGTACGGAGGTTTACTGGAGATGTAGCTGAACATCCTTTTTATTTTTTTTCCAGGAATGGAAAAAAATTGTTTGAGGACAGCAATCACTGAGTAGGGGAACGAACCAGGCTGGATCATTAACTATGTAAAAAATTGCCTATCTGTTCAAATGAGAAATACAGCATCTGAATCACAGAGCATGCATCTGGTCCAGTAGAATGCTTTTTTCCCACCCATTACTGACAAGAAGCAAATGTTATTTAAATTACTAATGCACTCGAAGTGGAGTGAAAAGGTTCAGTACAGGGACTGGGAGTAGAATTTAGGAGAACAGCAAGAGGATAATATATGAGAGATGTAGGGTTTTGCTTCCATGCTGAGAGACTCAAAGGATTTGTTTCCCTCATCCAGGGTGCACAGCATATTGCTGAGTACCTTGCCACACTGACTGTCTTGCCACAGTTCATAGGAACTGCATAGTGTAAGAGCAGATTGAAGCTCAGTTCTCATGAAGCTCTGTTGTCTTTGGTATTTCGGGGGGGGGGAACAACAAAAAGATCATCCTTCTGCAAGATTTAGCAGCAAAGAGGGAAGCTTCATGCAGAAAAGCTGCTGTCTTTTGGTCTCTTGAAACCTGGGGCTACCACCTTGCCCTGCACACCCAGGCTAGGTGAGTGGATTCCCAAGTCGAGCATCTCTGTGAAAGTCTTTCAGGGGGACAGAACAAGCTTGGAGCTGAGTTGTTCCCTTTTTGGCGCTGACTTGTTCATGCAAAGCACCTGCCTAGCGGGTGTTGCAGCTGGGTATTTAGTTGTTTGGACATACGGAAAAATCTAACTCAGCTCTTTGTAATGAGCTTCACTGTGTAACACTTAACTGGAGTCTATGGATGCATGCAAGGAGCAGCTTTTATGGACTCTGCAGCTCAGTGTGTTTCTGCCAGTGTTTGTTTTTTGAAGAGCGTTAGGCTTCTGACAACTGGAAATATTGTTGTTTTCCTGCAAAAAACTTTGCCACAGACACATTCTCTGGAGAAAGCCAGTTTTGGCTGATAGCAGCATGGCTCTGGTTTGAGGTGACATCCCAGCCAGGCTGTAGGGCTTGCTACTTTGTTACCTGCCATCCTCTTCAGAATGGGTTCAGATCATCAATGTTTTCAACATCCTGCCTGCAAGAAGGCATCTTATTCCTCTCCCCAAGTCTGGGGAGTCCGAAAAATCCCAGGAGATGTGGCAGAGAAGCAGGATGCATGCAACAGAGTGATCCTGTCGTTTGCTGGCTGCAGCACTGTGGGCACATTAACTTTTGTGTTTCCTTACTGGCACTGTTCCTCAGGTCCTGGTGTAGTGCTGTTCAGACTGCATATGGAAATCATAATCTGCAAAGAAAACCATCTCTGAAACAGTTCTTATTAGCATATACAACCCCATTTTGCTCCAGCATTCACCAGGCACAAAAGCAGAATGCTGTGTGTTCTATCAAAGATTTAAACTTCTTTTTCTGCCAATCCTTGAAATCAAACGATTCCGTACTTAAGTATCTCTAGAATTCTTATAAATATCTTATGAGTCCTTTACATCACAATTAATAGACAGACAACATGTAAAGTGGGGTGGCAGTGGAATATGTAATATGTGATAGTTTCTACCTGAAATATCCTCCTGTTAGAGCCCATGTGCAAACACAGTGCTATCCAGAAACATCATTTGTCACATTAACACACTGGCTACTCTTTCTTCTGGCCCCTGGATAGATGGCTTATTTAGAGAAAGCCAAGCTATTGATGGCAGAAAATTGAATTATTCATATGTGTCACATAAAAGAATACACCTCAGCTCTCTCTTAAACCTCTTTTTCTCCAATGATGTCTGAAACGGTCTCTGGAAAGTGAAATAAATGGAAAGAAGAAAAGAAATGTTAGGCTTTCAAGCTAAGTATTTCCTTTTTTTTTTTCTCTCTCTCTCTATGAATTGCTGGCTGCTGCTGTGAGAACTCATTCCTTTGACGTGAGCATAAAAACACAGAGGTGGGAAGTGGCTCCTAAGACATGTCTTGTTCCATCTAACTGCTCCTCACATCATATCCAAGCACCTCCTTGCTGTATTTCTCCTGTGATACAAAGAGAAGACCACGAAGGGAGTTTATGTGAATTAAACCCCATGACATCACGTTCTCCCTTAACCCTGCCAGGCTGCACAGGCAGGTTTAATGTTTGAGCCAGTATGCAAAAGAACCAGTTTTATATCCAACTCAAATCAAGAGAAAGTAATGAGTGATGCTGGCCTGCTGAGTAAGACCAGCTCCATATACAGTGCAGGCAGCAATGGGATGAGACTCATGCAATCATGGAAGCGTTTGGTTTAGAAGGGACCTTAAAAACCATGGTCAGGGTTGCAAACCGCTAAATCAGGCACCAGGCTTCCCAGGGCCCCATCCAACCTGTCTTTGAACACCTCTGCAGATGGGGCCCCTACAGCTTCTTTGAGTAGCAGTGTCAGTACCTCACTGCTCTCTGAGTGAATTCCCCCTAACATCTGTGGTGCCCTCAGCCTTCCCTGGGACCAGAAATCTAGAAAGTATGTTTGAACAGCTCTTGGAGGTGTCTGCCCTCTGGAGAGAAGCTCTGTAGAGGCTGCAAAAACTGAGTGGCAGATGTGTTTCAATGTAAATAAATGAAAACAAATATGTTTATGGAAAAATAATGAAATTCAGGTGGACTCAGTGCTGTGCTTGTATCTGTGAGCTGCAGCTCGGGGAAGAAACTGGTCTCAGAGCACGGAGTGCAGAGACCAAGCTGATAAGTCAGCAAAATATTGGATATGGTAAAGAATGTTATCAGGGATGAGACAGGGTGCCGGCAGCATTTTGTTGATGTCTGAAAGCTCACTGCAACCCACTTTCCACATGGTACGAGTATTTGTGGTCCCCACTTCTGAAGGAGATAGATAAGAACAACAAAATCATAGAATGTCCTTAGTTGGAAGGGACCCATGAGTATTTCAACTCCCTGCTCCACATTGCACCACCCAAACCCAGTGTTTGAGAGCGACGTACAGACGCTTCATGAACTCTGGCAAGTTCCATGCCATGTCCTCTTCCCTGAGTAGACTGTTCCAGTGCCCAACCTTCCTCTCAACAAAGAATCTGTCCCTATCCCCTAGCTGCCCTTCCTCTGACACAACTCCATGCTCTTCTCTCAGCGCTGCTCTCTGCTCCCTGTGAGGAGCTGCAGCTGCCATGAGGCCTCCCCTCAGCTCCTCTGCTCTGCACTGAGCAAATTCAGGGGCCTCCACGCTCCTCATACAGCTCGTCATGCAGACCCTTCTCTATCTTTGCAGCCTTTCTTTTGAATAGATGCTACATTTGATAGAGGAGAAAGCTAAGGGATGTGAAATCCCCTGCTTGTACAAGACCATGAAGGTGAAGAACAAGATGAGTGCAGACCTGCTGCTCAGCAAACCTGCAATAGTAGAAGCAGGGGAAACCTGAGGGAGCTGTCTTAACACAGATAACAGAGAATTTTTCTTCACATGTGAGGAAGCAATTAGACTGATTCATGGACAAAGAACACATAGAAAGGTATTAAGAGAAATTGGTACAGCTTTTCTTGCTAATATCTTTCAAGCAACAGTTGAAAGCTGGAAGAGCACAAGGGGTGAATACACAGTGTCCAGGATTACATGAGCTCCCTGCAGAGTACATCCAGCGGCTGCTGGCAGAAGCAGAGCACAGGGCTTGATGGACCATTGACCCAACTCCACAGAACACACTTTTATGTCCCTTTGCCTTCATAGACAAATTATTAACAGTCCACAGGAGTGGGTCAGATGTAAGACAAAAAGAGGACATTAGTGGATGCTGACTCCCTTAGATTGAGCTGTGTAATATTACTTTTTCAGTTAATGTGCCTCAGGGAATAGAGGTATCTCCCTAATCTTGTTGTGGCAGCTGGTCGCAAGAGTGATCTGCTAAGTCACAAGAATGCTGTGATCCATGAGTACCTTCCAATGGATGCAGAGGGCTGTTGTATGGGAGCCCCTGTCACTCACGCTCAGATTAGGGATATTTACTTTACGGCTGTTATTACTGCTCCTCAGGATAAAGAATGTGATTTAGGAGACTATGGCAGTTGGCCTGGTCTTGTATGGATTTGTTTATTGTTGTCCGTGGTAATCCCCTTCCAGAAGCAATGCGTTGAATGCATGCTGCTGATGAACTGTAGGTAGACTATCTGTGGGTGTCTAGAGAGCATCACGAGCAGTTGATCAAAATCCAGGGGTACAGGAGAAAGAATGGACTTGGAATATTCATCAAGGACTTTTTTCCTCCTGAAACATTTTGGCTTTGTAAAGTCAAGCATGAAAACTTTCCAAGCAAGGAAAGAGCACTGTGAGCCCATTCTGGACAGCTGGCTGCTTGACTGATGCTGCATGTTAGTCTGGGAGCTGGAGAAGGAAGAGGAGTTTGGACCAGGTCAGGATAATGGATTTTGTTCAAATACCTTTAAAAGTGAATGGGAGCAACTGCAAAACTCCAAATGGTAAAAATAAAAAACAAACCAACAGGCAAATAAATACAGCATTGCCAGGCCAAAAAAATCCATGATGGCAGCAGGTTTTAGAGGCATAACCTGCTAAGGAAGCATCAGCCAGATGCTGCTCAGTGAGAAGTAAGTGGGCTGAGGTGAGCGGTAATAAGCTACAACCATTGGTGGGAGAGCTGCCATCCAGCACACTGCCATCACCATCTGCTGCATTTAGGTGAGCTCAGACCGACTGCAGAAGAGCAAAGGGATGCAGAGTGCTGGTCAGAATAGGGCACTGTGTTCACCACATCACCTAAACATGCATTGTGGGGAGGGAAACAGAGCACATATTGTCTTATAGTTACCTTGGGTTGGTCCTTATCAAAAACTGACTCCTGAACCATCTGGATTTGAAGCAGATTTCAAAGGGCCATACCAGAGATTAGTTTTGTATGCAGCGTGTGTGCAACTGAAACGATTGCTTTGAAGAGAAAAAAGGAGTGATACCAAAAGGGCTGTTTTCTGAAAATCCATCAAAGACTGCAGGCAGCCATGGCTCACAGCAGAGCTCATTGTCTGACTTCTCTAGCATGAGCTGCATTTTTCTGCTGGAAGGGACTGTGTGTCCACCAAGTCCAGCCTCCAGCATGCCACTGGCACCCAGGAAAGGCTGTCTAGAGAGCCTTTGCTCATTCACAGCTTCTTGATTTAGATAAAGCACACAGCTTTTAGGGATAGCTAGCCTCAATTTTAAAAAGGGCTTGGTGTAATAGAAAATCCATTATAGCTGCAGAAAAGTGTTCATCACCATTCCTGCTAAAAATCTGCACCTTATGTCAGCTCTTCATCTGCTCTGCTTTCACTTACTGGGGTTTCTTGTGTTTTTTTTCCTGCCGAACAGCAGAGCTGTCTGATCAGAAATTACCTACTCACAGAGGCACTTACAGAATGTGAAGAAATTACATCTTAAATTTATCTCACAAGAGAAGTTGTTCTTTCTACCTTCTTCCCGTGTGAATGATTTTCTGTGGCATGATGCATGGACCTGAATTTTTTATTCCAAATTTCTCTGTGTGGGAAGTAGACCCCTCCCTTCTCCCAGCAAAGTTTATTTCTCCTCTTCATCCACTGTCACAATCACAGTTTTTGCAACAGCCCTCTTTCTGTCTTGTGGAGGCTGCAAAGAGCAGCTCATTTGGCACAGGGAATGATTATGGACCTCCCTGAGATTACATCTTTCATGTTGCAATCTTGCATTCTGCTGTTGCTTGAAGCCCATTGTCTTCTAGTCTCTTGGCACTTACTTGTGTGGGCCCTGAATATCAGAGTACAAATGCTTTCCTAACTGACCATGTACATGATTGAGACCTCAAGATGGGACACCAGAAACTATCCCCCATGAGTGCTAGAAGTCTATTTTGAAAATGTCCTGGGGCAATTGGTGGTATTACTATGAGTGGATGATCACAGACTCGGTCCACGAAAGAGGAGAAGTAATATCATTAATCAGCACTTCTACGTTTCTCTCTTGCTTTTCCAGAGTGACTACTCGAGTGACACTGAAAGTGAAGACAATTTCCTAATGATGCCACCAAGAGATCATCTCGGCCTCACTGTGTTCTCCATGCTCTGCTGCTTCTGGCCATTGGGAATTGCTGCCTTTTACCTGTCTCATGAGGTAATGCTAAAACATATCCTGTTAATTATGGTTTTGCATCCACAAAGTAGCCGTTATCTTACACTTGCAAGTAAAGGTCACCAAGAACCGTCTGTGGGCAGAACACTATTTCAGGACTGTGGGAGGTGGTTAAAGAGAGCATTGTGTGTGGGACACTTCTCCACCTTCATAAATCTCTGTGATGGTGGTGGCTGTCTTGTGAGGCATTCTAGTGAGCAAGTAGTCTGTAACATATTTTTGGTTTAATTGAAGTAGTCAGATTCCATGTCTGATTATACAACATCCAACTTAGGATACTCTCTAAGTCTGACTTGTGAGTAGAAACCAGCCTTGCTATTCCAAGCATTCAGATTTCCCATTGCAAAAACTCATTTATTAGTTGCCAAACTGATCATCTTGGAAAGAAAACCAACAGCAGAAAATTCATTTCTGTTCGTTTTGCCATGAAAAATTGCTTGACCTGTACTTGTCCAATTTTGACACAGAAGTACTTTTTTTAATCAGAAAAGCAATGATGTTTCAGTTTGTTTCCTCCATGAGACAGTCTTGCTTATCTCCAGCCTGTGCCTAACAACCACCTAATGCCCTATAATTTATTTCAACAAGTATGTCTTCCGTAGTGCCTGCAGAGCAATTATTGAGTTTCCCAGCACGGCTGATAATGTAACATGACAGAAAAGTCATGTTGGAAGTCTGTTCTTTGACTATAAGGAAACATTCAGTTGTATTTCTATTTGCTGATTGTAGAAGTGCCTATTGAAAACTCTACTCTGCACTCCACAGCACTAAAATTATTCATCCTCTTGCCTGCCTTTCTAATCTGCCTCCTCTAAACATCTACCAGCACTTGCTGTTTGTCAAGCCAGAGCAGGCACTTCAGATCTGAAGAATCCTACTCTTTAGTATCAAGTAAAGAGATACAGCACTACTCCTTTTTTAATTTAAATGAAGGGTCTGTCTCTGATCTTTGAAGCCTCTGAGATTATTAAAATTTGTCCAGTGAAAATTAACAGGTTTCTTGGCTGAGTGCTATTGATTTCTCAAATTTGGGCCAAGGAATTTACCTGATGATGATGACAGCACAAAGTAAAGTACTGGGAGAGAGCTGCTTATATACTTTGGTACTCTGCCATTTGGTCCTTCAGAAGAGCTATTTGTCAGCAGTTTCAATGGCCACAACTCCTCACATAGATGGAACAGGCAGGATTTTTCATGAAAGCTGCAGCCAAAGAATGCTTCCAAGTTGGAGATCATTGGCACAATATTTGCTCTATGTTGGGAAAAGCAGTGCATTCAGTAATTTCTTTCCTTCAGGAAGCCTGGGGACTGGTAGCTAGTTTTATCCAAGCAATGAAAGCAGAGTGCAAAATAAACAACGTAATAAAGTACTAAAAAGCAAAATGGCTGAGAAGCATTCAAAATAGCTACAAGCAGATCCCAGGGGCCAGCACGAACCTACTGCCTCAATAGGAGCATACACAGTTGGAATAGGTTGCATGAAGGCAGCGAATAAGATGCTCTTGGAAGAGGAGTGCTCACCTTTATGGTATGTGCTTCTTACCAGCATGGTGTCAAGACCAGTGGGTTGCTGATTGATCCCTGGGGTTTCTGATGTCAGTGACCATGGTACAGCAAAGTGTTCATGGATGCCTCTGAAATAGACGGGATTAATGATGGATTAGGACAGTCCTTTTCGTTTAATTTCCTCCTTTAAAAAACAAGGTGAGGAATGAGGTAGCGTTCAGAATGATCTTTTGTATGTGAGATAGTAAAATATTATGCCCTGTTAGCATCTGACTTCTATTTATAGATATCTTTTAACTAAAAGGCTGAATAGCATTTGAGCTCCCTTGTTAATACAAAAGGGTATGCCAACATTTCCCATCCTCTGTCAAAAGCCAGAACTGTAACTAATGATCGAAATTTGATGCTTGCATCCCAATCCTTTTTGAATCTTCTTGAGCTCTTGACAATTTCACAAGTACAAAAGTCTCCTGAGTAGTTTTACAAAAAGACCCAGTCTGCAAGAAAAAGCTGCAACATGTAGGAATGTCAGAGGTGATGGCTGGATTCTTTGTGCCAGGACTTAGCACCCGTGGCAAACTTTTTAATAAAACAGGGTTCCTTCAGCTGAGCAATGCATCTACAGATCTAGGCTTGATTTGCTGGAAATACATTTGTGCTGCAAGTAAGTAGAGCATTGCCTGGTGATCTTCCTATCCCAAGCAAAGCTTAGAGTCATTGCTTTACATCTTCTGTCGGTAAAAGAGAGAGCCCAAAGCCATCGCTGTGCTATCTGCTTGCTCATTTATTTGCTTTTGTTTTGAGTACTGCTTTCCTTCCCACAAGAGTTTACACCCACAGCTTGGGGCTGCCAAGCCCTGCTCTCACCTTCAGCTCCCAATTAATCACTGCCAGCAAAACCTGTGCCCCATCACACTTGCTCCTTTGGTCCCAGCAATGCCTCGGAGCAGATATTTATGCTGTGTAAGACCAGCACTGGGAGGAATGGTGAGATAAGGATGAGTGCCCCATTGCTGCTCAGCACAAGGTGTCCTCCACAGAATCTTTTTGTCCAAATCCTCTTTTACTTCATGGGTTTATTTTTAGGAAAGAGGGCAACAGCTTGGCACATGTCTCTTTCCCTTTTTTAGAAAGAAGTACAGGATCAGAGAGCTACCCAGGCCTTTGTTGGTGTGAATGAGCTTTGCTTTTGTACCTGTTCTCCCGTGGGATGTAATGGGATGTGGCGAGACTTCCCCTTAAACCTGGGAAGTCCCCACCAAAGCATCCTGGAGGTGCCAACTGTACCAGAGCAGCAACAGCATTGGTACAACACCTCCTCTATACAGCTTCCACGTAACCTCCTTGGATTCATCTCTGACTGACAGGCAGATTTTCCTAACCTGTGGACTGCATAATACCTTTGTCAGCTCTAATCCTTCCCATTAAGCCTCACAGTGTCTGCCAGCATAAACCTTCATGGGTTGCTCATTCCCTGCTTCTGCTGCCAGCAGCAGAAACCAGGTATCTACTGGCCTTCTCAGACTGAGAAATGCCAAGACAGGTTTACAGGGATTTTCAGAAGACATAGACACACATCTGAAAAATCCCACCAGACACTTTTCTGCATGCTTAGGTGCTTAAAGAGCCTTCAAATCCCATCCCTGCTCTTCTCCTTGGCAGCACGTGTAATCTGCCAGGCAGCAGCCTGCGATCCAAGCACATGAGAGCAGTCACTTCCAGTCTGCTGTGGTTAACCCATGTACCAATTAATTCTCTCACACAGGGATTGAGGAATGCATGGCACTGTAATTATTCCCTAACTTGTGGATTGCTTGAGTGATACAACCCCAAACATTATCACTTGGGATACATTCAAAGAAAAGTACTGTGCACTGGGTAAAAGGATTTTCTCTTGTATTCGTCTGGACATGAGGCAAATGGGGTAAGGCAAAAGAGCAGTTTATCTCTCTTCAAGATAAGTTCTGAAGCTTTTGGTTACTTTCTGTCCAATTTTCAGAGATAGAGGCTTTGAAAAAATGTATTTTTTCAATACAGTGGTCACCAGTTAGAAAAGAGCAATAATGCCCATGTCCCCAGAGGGAGGAAGAGGACGATATGAACTTAAACTTTATCAGAGACCAGAGATCAGATGTTCAACATGCATGAATGTATTTCACTTTGCTTCTCTGCATGAAATATTAATATCCAGCCACTAATAAAAGGACAGGGAAATAACACCCAGACATTATATGCTGATTATTCATTAGAAATCCTGCTCATAGACTCCATCTCATCTTGAAAAAACATAAGACAACTCAATAGTACAACAGTCACACCAGCAAAAATGCCGATGATGCTGGTGAGACCTATGTGTGCTTTTTTCCCCTCTCTTTTCCACATTTCTCTATTCAGAAAACAGAATATGCTTACATGTCTTTAGTTGCAGGTGTCTACATCTCTCATATCCTCATGTCACAGAGGGTTGGAGCATCTCCTTGGAGCAAGCCATAAGGTTAGGGACTTCCTCTCAGTAGTTATCTGAAGAAACATAGAATGTTTTCTTTAGCCACATTCATCAAGGGTGTTGGAACTAGAATATCCTAAAGGTCCCTTCCAACCCAAACCATTCTATGATTCTGTAACACAAATACCCAGAGAGGACCAGTGAGTCAGATTTAAGACCTGAAGATTGGTGGGTTTGAGATCATTGAAAACAAGGTTTTATATGAGGAAATGTAGGGTAAACATCTTTTGCAAATATTCATCTCTGCTTGCAAACTGTCTCTCTGTATAAGTGCATATGTATGCAGTTCTGTTAAGTAAAACACAGTGTTTGCAAGGATAAGCACTTCAAGATCATGAAACGACACCATAATTTTAGCTGCCACAAGACAGCCACTTTGTACTTGCATATGGCTCTACAGATATATTTATCTGGCTGTTTGACTTGCATCCATACTCTCGCCTAACCCTGAGGAGCAGAGTCTGTGCTAGTGATCATTCTAGCTGGTGGCTTCCACTCCTTGTCCCACCTTTCAGTTTGTAAGGTACTCTATTGCACTGGGCCCCACTCTGGTGCTTGGAAGACACATACACTTCAGGCAGGAGCAGAGACCCTGCCACCTCTGTGCACAGTATTTCTGTACCAGCCACTATTTTCCTCAAGTGACCAGGCATTTTCCCACTAAAATCCACTGTCCACAGAGGTCTTGATGTGTTCTTATGGATGTTTGGTACCTCAACCAAAACTCCATGGTACCCTGGAGCACCTGGAAAACCTTTGTGTTATCATGCACCTTTGTGGTTATCATGCATCTAAAAAAGCCAAAATCTTCAGGAAAGTTCTTTGTTGAAGAAGCTGTTCGGGTTTCAGGTGTGTCTACCAGAATCCCCTAACATGTACTGAAAATGCAAGAAGACAGGATGCAGACTCTGGAAACCACCTGGGACAGGAGCTGGTGCTGCGGAAGCAGGTGGACAGCAAGGAAATGTCA